CCCTTGGTAGAGTGCCCTGGCATCACAGCTCACAGCAACCTCCAACTCCTGGGCTTAGGTGATTCTCTTGCCTCAGGAATAGTTGAGACTACAGGCACCTGCCAGAATGCCCAGCTATTTTTTTGTTGCAGTTTGTCCAGGGCCAAGTTCAAACCTGCCACCCTCGGTATATGGGGCTAGTGCCCTACCCATTGAACCACAGGCACTGCCCCTTCTTCCTTCCTTCTTTTTGACACTGAGATTTTTTTTTTTTGAGACAGAATTTCACTCTGTTGCCCCAGGCTAGAGACCCATGGCATCACCCTAGCAACCTCAAATTCCTGGGTTCAAGCAATCCTCCTGCCTCAGCCTCCCAAGTAGCTGGGACTACAGGTGCACACCAGAACACCCGGCTATTTTTTTGCAGTTTGACTGGGGCTGGGTTTGAACCCACCACCCTTGGTATATGGGACTGGCACCCTACCCACTGAGCCACAGGGGCCGCCCATCCTTCTTTCCTTCTTTCTTTCTTTCTTTCTTTCTTTCTTTCTTTCTTTCTTTCTTTCTTTCTTAGTAGAGATAGGATCTCTCACTTTGGCTGAGGCTGCCCTTGAACTCCTGAGTTCAAGCAATCTTCTTGTCTTGGCCTCCCAGAGTGTTAGGATTACAGGTGTGAGACACAACCAGACTCCATCTCTTTCTGGTATCTGACTTATGAGTGTCAGGTTGAGAAAGGGATAAGGCTGTACTTGTTGCTGGCACCGGGTGCCCATAACGGGTGAATGCCTGGTTCAGCTATCATCCTAACCTAGAGGCCTTAGAAAAACACCCAAGTGATAACTCCTGGACTGTTGTCCTTGAATGAATGATCTCTCATTGAGCAATAATTAACTTGATGCCTGTAAGAAGAATCCAAACTGTGGCAGTGAAGGGGGCGGGATCTGGTCAGGGACTTAGTGCTGGAGAAAGGAGGAGACCTGGAAGTCCTATAGGCAAGTGTGTTGTTATCATTTGCTCCTGCCCACCCTTCAGGTCACTTACCCTGACCCAAAGTGACTGGGTCAAAATAGTTAACAAACATTGAGGCACAGGCATTGACCAATCAGAACAGATGCAAGAAATGCTCTGAATGGAGCAGTCCTGGAGGTCATGGCCATGCCAAGCATTGCTGCTCTAGTTACTAGCTGATGTGAATGTCTATAACAGGCGTCCTTAAACTACGACCCGCGGGTCACATGCGGCCTGCCTAGGACATTTATCTGGCCTGCTGGATGTTTTTGCTGCCACTGCCTATCCTGCTTAGCAGCCGACTTGTCCTGGGGCCTGCAGTCTGGCCCTCCAACGGTCTGATGGACAGTGAACTGGCCCCCTGTTTAAAAAGTTTGAGGACCTCTGATCTGGAAGGAGGATCCCAGGAGAAGGACGGGGCAGAAGAATGGTGGCAGGAAACTAAGGGGGCCTCAGGGAGACTCAGGGCAGTGGCTGTGAACCAGCTGTCATCGTGGTGTTTTAGACTTTAACTGGTGTAGCTGGAGCATTGTGGTTCAAGTAAACCTTGGCCTACCTTGGCCTCCAAGCAGCTCTCGGGCCAGCCCTGGATGCCCTCGCCTGCTTCCACTGAGAGAGTAATGAACCGTCCTCTTCTGCCCTCTTCAGCCATTTGCAGAAATGAGGGAAATGAATGATTACAAACTGCAGCAATTGCAGTAACCTTATCTGTTTCAATTTGGGAATGGGCTGCTTCCTGATTGTCTGTGATTGGACTTTCACTGAAGGGAGAGGAAGCCTGTAGGGGTGGGAGCCAGGGGAGGAGTTAGTGAAGAGTGTACCCAGCAACTGGGAAAGCAACCCTCTTTGTTAGAAAAGAAAGGCGAGGAGGTAATGAGGTTGTGAACTGATACTTCCCCCTGGATTCGGACTAAGATTCAATCCCCAGAATTGAAATCATCCCACCTTGAAAAATTAATACCTGACTTTTTTGAGGCCTGGCTCCTGCACCCCTAAAGTTCCTTGGGCTCCCTCTGATAGGGGCAGGGTGGGCCCAGAGGTGAGATAGTCCCTTGACATGCATGAAAGATATCTCTTCAAAGGTATCCCAGCTTTTATTACAAAAATCAATAACTTAATTCCGTTCTGTACAAAGCAGTAGGATTTCTGGTCCAATGACAGCCTAAGCTTTCTTTTCCAACTCAGAAGGGGACAGGAGTCTTGGCTCAGAGGCTCCAGGGACCACCAAAGGCCTGCTAGGCACTGTATCCAAACCAAGGCAGTCCCAGACGGTGTGTGGCTAGCATGAGGGGCCACGTGCTGTCTGTACAGCCTTGTCCCCTCCAGGAGGACTGGTCACCCCTAGGGAAGTCCAGGTTGAATAAGCACTGCCAGCCTCTGCCCAGTCTACATCTGATCTCTGCTGGAACTGGAGCAGGTCACCTCAGCAAAAGCATGTCCTCAAGGAGTCCAGTGATGTCAACATCTCCAATAATAGGGCGAAAGAAGAGGTCCCTAAGCAGGCTGGGTGGGATGGACTTGAGGGTGGAGGCTGTGAGGAGGACACGGGCCAAGCGGCCTTGACCTGCTGGGCACCAGGGCTCCAGGACTTCACACAGTGCCCAATGAGCCTCCTGCTGCAGGTGCCCAATGTGGGAGGAGGCCTGGAGGCCTGGCAGGTCTGTGGGCAGAAAGAAAGAAGAGGGCTAGTGAGTACCCCACTCCCAGCCACCAAAAGACAAGACTGGCCCAAGATCTGAGGCCAATAGCAGACACCCTCTGCCTCCTTTGCTCAGCCTTCAGGGCCCCTACTGCCTCCTCCCATGGAGAAAGTAGTTCATTTACTTATTTATCAGGTTATTCATCCATCCATTTATGGAGAGGCAGTGTGGAGTAATGATTAAGGTCCAGGATGACTGAATTTGAATCTCAGCACTGTCACTTAATAGCTCAATGATCTTGAGCAAGTAACTTAATCCCTGTACTTCAGTTTTTTTATCTGTAAACTGGGTATAAAAACAATACCTGTCTCCTAGGCTTTCTCTGAGGTCCAGATGACCTAATGTATGTAAAAACCTTAGAATAACAGAAACAAAAACAAAAAAGAAAAGAAAACCCTAGAACAGGGCCTAAGATATGGTTAAGTGTAATATGAATATTTGTTACCATTATTATCATTAACTACTACAATTTACTCATGCCATAAGGGACTCCTGGTGGGGAACTCTTATCTCAGATGCCGTCTAGGTTCCAAAGAATGCTATCTTTACCTGTTGTCCTCCTGGCTGAATTTCACAAAGCCTCCTTTCCTCCACCCCCCCCCCCCCCCCAGCCGCTTTCATTCCTCCATGTGACCTTTCTGAACCTAAGGAAGAATTTTACCTTCAGAACTTCACATGCAATCTGCTTTTGAAGATGCCACTGAGACATAGCTATGTCTGCCCACCCCCATTCCTTCCACTCCTGTCTTCCCCAAGAGTTGGCAGATTTCTCAGGTGGAGTGGCAAGGGCCACTCTCTGCAGTGACCTGAGTTGCCATCCCTGCTCTGCCTCTGCCTGGCTGGGTGAGGTTGGGCTAGTCCCTTAGCTTCTCTGCACCTCTTCTGTGACATAGCTATTTGTTGAATATAAGGACCCAGTGGGATAACAGGTGTACAAACCCTTAGAACAGTGGTTCTCAACCTTCCTAATGCCGCTGCCCTTTAATACAGTTCCTGTGGGTCGCAACTCACAGGTTGAGAACTGCCCCCATCCAGGAGTGGGGAGCTCACCAGAGTTGAAGAGGATGGTCCCTTTCAGGTAGGCATATTCCTTAGGGCCCAGCTCCAGATTCCACAAGGACTCCAGGCAGCACTGAAGCCACCGCACTGCAGCCAGTGAGGGCTGGGGTCTGTCTGGCAGCTGGCTGCCACCTCTGCTGCTGCCTGGCTCCTCCAGAAGGATCTTCTTGAGTATGCTGGGCACCGGAGCCTCAGCCACCTCGAAGGTCACAGTGTCTTGGGCCAACCCAAGCAGGAAGAGGGGGCCCCACCCCCCCTGCAGCAGTTGCCGCTGATCCTGGGGAGGCAGCTGGCAGAAGGATGGCAGGTTCCTGAGGAAGGCCACTGTCTTGGCCAGGACGTCCAAGGCTTCCCTGCAGGTCCGATGAGGTGCACACAGCTGGACAGGCCGGTGCTGCCTGCACAGGCAGTGGCTACGGGGTGGGGGGACAGGCCTGAGGCTGGGACTCAGAAGTGCATACAGAATGGCTGGGCGCCCTACGGCACCCTGGCATGGGCAGGCCCCCGGTTGGCTGGAGCTCATGGTTGGCGATCTGCTTCTACTTCCTCCCAGCTCTCTGGCACTGTGTTCTGAGCTGTAAGTGCTATTTATATCTCCAGTGGGTGGGAGGGGAGAATGACCTGACAACCTTGACTCCAGAAATCATGTTCATTGAAAAAAACACACACACACACTGACCCTGGCAGGACTGGTGGGGAAGTAGTGGGGGAGGGGCTGTTGGGAGCCTCATGTGGTGCAGATGTCACTTCAGTCAATGAAGTGGCCAGTGCAGGGCATAGGGCTGCCTGCCCGCTCTCCCAGCTGCCCCTTATCGGATGACTCAAGTGGATAAACAGGGTCATTAACCCGGGCTGTACCAGGGCACCAAGGCCTCAGGTGCACAATCAGCAGGTGACTATGGCAGGTGTCCCTATTGGTGCCCATTCTGTGTGCACACAGACCAGAGACCTTGCTAAGCTGGGAAGCCAGCCACAGAGCTGGACAGGCCTTGAATGCAAGGCCCAGCCTGGAAGTGCCTTATCGCTAGTTTGTTTGCCTAACCTTGGAGCCCTGCTCCTGTTGTTGGCAAGGAACAGGCTTCACGGAAGGGATTCAGAACCGTGGGGGGCTGGGAGGACTTTTCCCATTGTGCTGTCTACGTGACCCCCTTCCTCTGACTTCAGTTCTGGGGGTCCTCCAGGAATAAGGTCCTTCAGAATCTCCATCCCTTGGACTCCTACAGTCTCCAAAAGGCTGTGTCTGCTGAGAAGTCCCCATAGCATGATAATAATAAAACCCAGCTGCCATTTCCTGAGCACTTACTATGTGTCAGGCATAGTAAAGCTCTCCACTCTAATATTCACAGCTTCCCTCTGAGGCTAGATTCTTACTTTGTAAGATGCAAAGTGCTAAAGCAACCTGCCCAAGGTCTTCCCCCCCAGGAAGAGGCAGAGCCCAGTTCTCTCTGGTTCCAAAGTCCTTGTTTGTTCCCCTGGACCCTCTGGCCTGATTGTACAGCCAGAGCCGAAGTTTCCCAGAGTGGGGTTCCCACCTGCTCTGCAGATACTACCCACTTGCCATCTGGGCAGAAATGTTGCTCTGCTGCCACGTGGCTCCTCTATCCTGAGTGTGTCTCAGACGATGGGGCACAGGGAGTGAGACAGGGTGGGGAAGCCCTCAGCTGTGTCATGTCCCTGGACCTTGGCCAGAACAGCATGGCAAGTCTTCTGCTGCCCTGTATCAGGAGAGAGAGGCTCTGGCATCACCAGCTCCTGTTTCCATCACTCTTTCTTTCTTTTTCAACTTTTTAGAGACAGTCTTACTTTGTTGCCCTTGGTAGAGTGCCATAGTGTCACAGCTCACAGCAACCTCCAACTCCTGGGCTTAGGCGATGCCCTTGCCTCAGCCTCCCAAGTAGCTGGGACTACAGGTGCCCGCCACAACACCTGGCTATTTTTTTGTTGCAGTTTGGCCAGAGCCAGGTTTGAACTCACCACTCTCAGTATATGGGGCTGGCGCCCTACTCACTGAGCCACAGGTGCTGCCCCAACCATCACTTTTTCATTGTGTGACTTTAGTTGATTCCCAAACCTCTGTGAGCCTCAGGAGCCTCACTGGGACAATAATTCCTGCCTGCAGGGCTGCTCTAAGGCTAAAGTGTGGTCCTGGTTGTCAGTTCCTAGGAATTTCTGACATACAGTAGAGGGAATGTCACCTCTTTTCTCTACCAGTGAACAAACAGGCACATGTCTTCCATTTGATTACAAATAATCTTTTTTTTGAGATAAGCAGTTGTCATTGTTTTTTGTTTTTTGGGGTTTTTTTTGCAGTTTTTGGCCTGGGCCAGGTTTGGACCCACCACCTACGATATATGAGGCCGGCGCCCTACTCCTTGAGCCGCAGGTGCTGCCCTGGTTTTTTTTTTTTTTTTTTTTTGTAGGGACAGAGTCTCACTTTATCACCCTTGGTAGAGTGCCATGGCATCACACAGCTCATAGCAACCTCCAACT